TTATGACATTAAAGCAGAGAGTTGTTACTCAAGTGAACAGAATTAAAGCTCTGCAGAGCAGCATCCAGGAACAAGTGGTGGAGATGAAGCGCTTAGAGGTAGGTGTCTGCTCTGAACTTCCCATTCTCTCCAGGGCTTCGCTACAGAAAGGGGTGAGCATTATGGTGAGCAGTGCTCCAGCTGGGAGAAAACATGTTACAATGCTCACAGGTTCTGACTTGCTGAGACAAATCCCCAAATGAGTTGCTTTCTATCCATCCTGGTTTTCTACTTCTGCTCTGTAGGACCCAGTGTGAGTTCCGTGAGCTCCTAGTCCCATCTCTCTCAGGCCACAAGGATGCTCCATCTGCTGAGAATTGCTTCTCCTCCTGGAAGGAGTTGCTGAGTAGTAAGAGAAGGGATGGGCTCTGTCCATCCCCAGTGCTGCCACTGCTGCCCACAGCTAGGGCTGGTATTAGAACCTGTGTTCCCAGGTTGCAGCCAGTTCTTCTGATGGCAAGGAAAAGTCATGGCACAAACAGTGGTTTTGCTCAAAGGCTCATTTTGCTTTCTAGAACAGAAATCTACCATTTGGATCATTTGAGAAAGCAGAGGTAACCCCAAGATGTCAGACCTCAGCAGGGCCATGAGAGAGTCTTCCCCTCTCTTTGGAGGGCCTGTTTCTGCCCCAGTCCCCATGGACCATGTCCAACTCTGCAGCACTCCTTCCAAAACCAGGAAGACACCTCTAAACCCCAAAAATAAAGGTAGCAGAGATTGGGAACTTTCTGCAATGTTCTTTTTCGTGGAACTCACATGCATGGTGCTATTGCACATGTTGTATTTACAATGGAAATAAGCTTATGATGACATCAAAATGGAACTTTGGAAAAGCTCAGCTGTAGGTGGGAGGTACTACGGCAGCTCCCATCTTTCCCTTGTTCAGTAGAAGATATCCTTGCTTGAGAAAGTTGGGAAAGCTCCCTAACCAAATTACTTCTTTCTGGTTATGTAGGTGGACATTGATATTAAGATACGAGCTTGCAAAGGAACCTGTGCTAAAAGTTTTGATTACAAGGTGGACAAAGAAAGCTACGACAACATCCAGAAGCAGCTTGCCCAAGCCAACTCCATCAACTTGCACCCAGAGCTTCAAACAACCACTTTGAGCACACTGAAAATGAGGCCACTTAAGGACTCTAATGTTCCTGATCATTTTAAGCATAAGCCTCTGCCAGAAATGCAAGCTCTGAACATAATTAATGACATCAAGCAGATGGAAGTGGTATTAGAAAGACCAGAAACAGACACAAAACCCTCCCGAGGTGACAGCTCATATCACACAGCAGAAGCAAGGGGGGACGAATCTTCATACCCCAGCAAATTAGTTATTCCTCCTCATGGGAGAGAAACCTTTAGTCTGGAAGACAAAACCTCCTCTGCTGTTCGTAGATGCACCAAAACTACCACCAGAAAAATTGTCTCTGGGCCTGATGGCCCTAGAGAAGAAGTAGTTGAGAAAACAGTCTCTTCGGATGGCTCAGATTGCGCCTATTTACCTGGAAATGTTGGAGGGGAAGGGACCACCTACCGTTTTAGTGGTGCAGATGGCTTGCGCAAGCTAGAGACTGTATTCCCTGAGCTGGAGTCATTTTTTGCCCCTGACTCTCCATCCATGCCTACTAAGCACGTTAGCGGATCTAGCAGCTTCACAACCAGCAGACGCACAGGCAGTAGCCACATAGGTACAGGTCACTCAGGGGCTTATGGGGGAAAAGACAAATTTGGAGACTTAGGAGAGGAGGAGGAAGATGACTTTGGAAGACTTCAGCCATCTGGATTCCCATCTGGCAGTGCAAGTCACTCCAAGACTGTAGCGGCCAAGAACAAGGGAGGCTCTACTTTTGAAACCAAATCAGTAAAGATCCGTGAAACAAATGAGCAGCTAGGTGGGTTGGAACATGATCAGAGTGCAGAGGATACTCCAGACTTTCAGGCACGCAGCTTCAGATCATCAGGAGGGAAGCGAAGGACACCCAGCACTGGGAAAGGTAGTTATTGAGGTAATGGAGCCAAACTCCATCCATAACCAAACTGACACATTGATTTTAGATGCTGTAGTACAACAGTGTGATGATTAAATGCAAGCACTGTGTCTGTTTGTTACCACCTTGGAAACAAAAGGGAAAATATTTCATTAATACTCGGGTATTACATAGACAATTCACAATTTAAGAAATATGTAAAGTTTTCTTTCCTGAATTCTTTTTAATGTTGCCTGTCACTATACCTAGCATATTCCAAGATGTGTTTAACAATTTTCATCTGAGCTATTGGTATTTGGATTCCTCTGAACCTTTTATTAAATTTTGCTGATATCTTCTGTCAAACCAGATCAACTTTTTTTTTTAGACTGTGATGATATCCGCCAGAAACACACTTCTGGTGCCAAAAGTGGCATTTTCAAAATCAAGCCAGCGGGATCCAATAAGGTTTTGTCAGTTTATTGCGACCAAGAGACCACTTTGGGAGGATGGCTATTGATCCAACAGAGAATGGATGGATCAGTGAATTTTAACCGGACCTGGCAAGACTACAAGAAAGGTTTCGGCAGCGTGGATGGCAGGGGGCAAGGAGAGTTTTGGCTGGGCAATGAAAACCTACACTTGCTGACTCAGAATGAGTCTGTCCTTCGCGTAGAGTTAGAGGACTGGGATGGAAACGCTGTGTTTGCAGAGTATCTTGTACGGGTAGGGTCTGAAGCTGAAGGGTACACCCTTGCCGTGTCTTCCTACGAGGGCACTGCCGGGGATGCCCTGGTCGCTGGCTGGCTGGAAGAGGGCTCTGAGTACACGTCACATGCCCAGATGAAGTTCAGCACCTTTGACCGGGACCAGGACCACTGGGAGGAGAACTGTGCCGAGATGTACGGGGGGGGCTGGTGGTACAACAGCTGCCAGGCTGCCAACCTCAATGGCATTTACTATCTGGGGGGCCACTACGACCCCAGGTACAATGTCCCCTATGAGATTGAAAATGGTGTAGTCTGGCTGCCATTTAAAGCCTCTGACTATTCCCTAAAAACTGTTAGAATGAAAATCAGGCCTATAGAAACCCTGTAGAAAGACAGGGCTTTAATGTGCATTATTACTACAAGTTGAAAAGATTTTTTTATATATGTATGTATGATGAACCTTTACCCTGTGAATTTGAAGGCAACTTAGCACATTTGGAGATTAAAAAATAAATAATTATTAATTATCAAAAAGACTTTTTTGACCTTATTTTTTACTGACAATGAAATATTGATTTAAAACCCTTTTGATATAAATTTGGCCTATGTCTTTGGCAGCTCACACATTGACTTGAGATAAAATATTTTTGTTTGAGCTATTTACTTTGTTTCGGGAATGTTAAATAAGTAAAAATATTTAGAAGCATGTTCACAATGAAATCCTTCCTCTACTAACACGGCCTTCGAAAATCTAAGGAAGCTCAACATTCACAATCTCATTTCCATTTCACGGGGAGCACAACAGCAGTGGGAATCAGCTCTCCAAAAGAACCAAGGGTGGTGTGGGTTCTCACTTTTGCCACACACCTAACATGGAGTACACTTTGATAAAGAATGCACGCATTTGAGGACTGACTTTTAAGAATCTCCTAACTTTTGATTTTATAAATATGGACATGGACCTTCCATCCCATTGATGAATCCTAGAGAGCTTACCATGCATACTTGTAGCTTCAAAATAAGACAACTCCATGATAACTCATCAAAATGCAACTCCCAAAACAGGCTATTATTTTCTAGCAACCACTAAAAGGATATGACTCCAACCAGAAAAAGCGAGATGAGGAACTATCTGAATGTTTCTCAGCACATATGCCAAACAATTCTTCTGAGGGTAAAGGGTTTAAATCAGCTTGCTGACAGTGTGTGGTAAGGATCTTCTAGAAAAAAGCTGGCTGCATGGAATATCAGTGATACTGGTCACACAATTACAGAAGACCACATTGTATTTACCTTTATACTTTATGTATTTACCTTTATACTTTATACATAAAAATACACAATTATGAGTAATATTTCTGTGCTTCTAGAAAGAGGCATGAGCAAACTTCCTTACCTCTAATCTCACTGACATGTTGCATACCATTTAACAAGATCATCAAATACGTGTAAAGCAGATCACTTTTAGCCTTTTTTTCAAATACAGCCACTGTCTAATCTTTTCAGAAAGATTGCTGCAGAGCAAAGACACTCACATGTGAGAAGGGGGTCTGTGCTTTTGGAAAATGGGTTTCCACTTGCACATTAAGATTTTGCTCCTTAGCCTCAATGGAAGCCTGCCTGTGTGGATGCTGAACATGCATGTGCTCCTTTAGTGAGAAGCTGCCATTATGTCTCGTTCTTGTCCTCCTGGGCTTCACAGATTAAATAAACACTAAAGGTTTCAGGTGGGATCCATCCACCCCTAGTGATCTGGGTCTCTTCCTTCGTGGAGGAAGGCAGACCCCTTTGAGAGATGTTCATCCTGTCTGCCAGGGTTGAGAAGTCTTGTCTTTGCCTGCTCAAGGGAGCACAGACTACTAGGTTTGGTGAAATATTCAACCTCCACTACTCTATGACTAGACACATTAATTATTCTAGTCCTATAATAGGGATTGTATAAAAAACATGTATGTGTGGAAGCAAGTACCTGACCAGGTCCCAGAAAAGGACATATTTTTTCCAGCAACAGGATTTGAACCAAGGGACCAGTGACCTACTGGTTTGTTCAATACTCTTTTCACTTTTATTCCTCCTCAACTTGTTACACAGGTAGTTACTGTTACTTCTATAATACAAAAGAAGATAACTGCCTCTTATTTAGTGGAATGCATTTGCTTTTCCCCAGATTATGCATAAATACTTAGGAATAATATTAAGAATACTTTAGTTTTAAGACTTCATTAGTTTTTACAAAACATTTCGAAATAATCCTCTCCCTCTTTAAAAGAGATACAAAAGACCTTTGTAAAAGAGTGAAACGAGTTGGTTTTATTTTATCAGTGTTATTCCATAATAGTTAATTCTGTCTTGTGCACAAATGAAAAATGGGAAAAATACACTTGTAAGTTATTTTCATCGGACAGATTTAGATTTACATTTGACATAGCTTTTCACTTTGGTCACAATATGGTTGTACATACAGATTTGGTTCTCATATGTAAAGGTAACACTGAGTACCATGCTAAAAAGAAAACCACGTACAAATACTAAAAGAAAATCCCTGATTCTGTACATTTTGATAATGGTTACTGTGGAAAGTATGGCCGGATTTTCATGCTCATCTTCTTCATTGAATACCATGACCCTTTCCAGTTCATCCACACGATACCATCATCTGTCCCATGTTTTGCCATGTCCCAGCTGTAGGTGCCTCCCCAGTAGTATCTGCCATTGGGGTTGGCTGAGTGGCAGCGGTTGTACCACCATCCACCACCATCTTCTTTGGAGCACTGTTTTCTTGGATCTAATGTTAACCTGATGAAAAAAAAAAGGCATTGAGAGTGACATCTGTAATATAGGCTCACAGATCAACAGAGTACATATACCCGCCTGTACGGATAGGTTTGAAATTTTCAAACCATAATAAACAATTTAAGTTCTCTTTGAACTTTCTACAAAGGATTGACCATCACAAGCATGTGCTACACGGTGCACTCAAAAGGTAAAGCAGCTAAGAAAAACAAATCAAATTTTAATTATACCTCTTGGGGAATGACATTTTAGTTTACTGATAGATACCTACTGTTATTTGGAGTTCATAATGATAATTACAATATCAATGACATTTCAAGATAGAAAGCAGTGAGAAATGTATGTCTTCCCCAACCTAAACAATTCCTTTATTCATGAATATGTAATCAGGTATTAAGCACAGGTGCTTAATAGTGCAAGTACATACCATCCATCATTGTCTCTGTCGTAAGTACTGAAGTACATGCCATTGTGAATTGTCATTGTCCTGTTTTCTCCATGCAATTGGGAAGCTCCTTCCATCAGTGCATTGCCTGCAGTGCCTTTGTAGTTGCTAACTGAAAGCTGATACTTGTTTCCTTCATTCTGTATGGTGAAACCTCCATAATGAGCTGATACTTTATCACCATTCCAGTCCTCCATTTCAATTAGAACTTCAGTGGGCCCTATTTTGGTAAGCTGGCTGATCTTGTCGTTTCCAAGCCAATATTCACCTGAGAAGGAGCAAGTGAGAGCTCTGTGAAACAGACTTTGCAATATACTTCAAGGCAACTTTATTATTTGCCTATAGGTCTGCTGGAGTGGATTAGTTAATTTAAAAAAAATCTAAGAGCTTCAAAAAATATGAGAAAATGGTTTCACTAGGAGCTGCTCCTTGCATTGTACACTTGTGTTTTACCTGGTGTATCACAGTAGTTCTTCCCTCCACTCTTTGCAACATTTCCAAATCCTTTTTTATATTGATCCCATACTCTTCCGAAATTAACACTGCCGTCCTGGCGGTTCTGAATCAAAGTCCAACCTGCAGGAGCAAGGGTATTTAGATTAAATTATCAGTACAAAAGGAGCATCAAACACTAAGATACAGCCCTTTTAATTTTGCCTCAGGACCAGAGGACCTCCTTGCACCTCCTTGCAGCAGGTCCTTTCACTGCTTTTGAGCTCAGCTTTGTCCCGTTTGTTCACACTTAAATAGAACCTTGCTTCATAAGGAAAGGTGGAAAAAGCAGAGCTTGAAGGACAGCCCTGGTCTTTTGTCAAGTGCATTGGAGCAGGGTAAGAAATGAGCCAGGCTATCCTTGTCGGCACATCTATGCACATTCCATGATGGTCATAGTAAGATACATACACAATTTATTTCCAGTTTCACTATAGTAGTATCCTATTCTGCACCAGCAGATGACCTCAACAAGACTTCCCTGAATGAGTCAATCAGATTTAATGATCAAGTAATTACAAAAGGGCATAATTTCATATTTCTTTGTATAAAATACAAATTATTAATATGATTTTTTGGTACTATCAATAAATTAATATTATTACAACATAGTTCTTTCACACTAACCTCCATTATCTGTTTCCATGTCACAGTATACTCTGTATGGCTTGACAAAAGGATCTGGCTGGATGAGGTACATTTCGGATGTCTCGCCTCCCTTTCTGATGATATCCTCACATTCTGCAAGAATCAAACAGACTGTTACTGAAAGATCTGTGAACTTGAACAGTTTTTTTATCTTTTGGTTTGCTGTTATATGGGAACAGTTTTAAATATCTATGGATAATATTTTACTTTCGTTTTGATTTCTGTATTACATCAAGTGAATGAATCATGGAAGAAAGAATACTGCGCTGTGCAGCTTTTCCAAAGAGAAATTTCTGAAACTTCAAACTAAGTGATCCAACACTGTACACCTTACAATGACTTCTTGAATTAGACAAGCTTTTGAAAGAAGAACCTTTCTTGACTGAAAAAAATCAAGAGTACAACTATGATAGTCACAAATCCACCTTACAAAGGCCCTTAAGCACTCATATCTTTAAAATCCTACTGGTCATTTACGAAGACTGATATTGGATAAGAGGATATTTGGTCTGACCAGAATAGTTATCCACAAAAGAGGTTTTTTTTTTCCATCTAGGATTTCCATCTTTCCTAATACCCTAATCAATTGTACAGGCTTCAGATGCATCTATCAATTTGCATAGTGACATAAATGGGAGAAAATATGTCATTAGATTCGAATGAGTACCTTTGCCTGAAACCACAGGAATGTTACAGGAAACAGAACATGGGGAACGGCAGTAGTCCACCTGGGTTGCAATGGCATTTTCCAGTTTTTGTATCTTTTTATGTAAAGTATCCACAACTGCACGAAGGACCCTGAGGCTGGATGGGATATTATTGTCCAGATTATCCTTTATATAACTATATTGCAATTCCACTTCTGTGTTGTACTGAGAAAGTAAATCATCATTGTCTAGAAAAGCAGAGAGATGAAAAGCAGATTAGTTTTCAACATATTTCCCAGTTAGGAAATCATGAAGAGCAGTTTATAAGTACAATTTGAGGTGCCACTAAGAAGGAATGAGGGAAGGGCATTTCTTTTGCTTACTTTTCTACAGTGTGCAAAAACTATGCAGATACACTCAGGAAAGTATCTCAGGTATGCCAATACCTCAGGGAAGAGATACACGTGTACTGTTGTTTCTTTGCTACCTAATAGATTTATCAGTGGGGCTTTACTCTGCCAAAGAGCAGTAATTCCCTTCTTTCTGGGGAGCCATGGTGCCAATCCAGAGGCTGGTCATAAATGGATTGGATGTACATAGGAAAACAGCTAAGGGAAACACATTAATGATGTACATTTAGGGGCCTCATATGAATCTTGCCTTAATATGAGATCCATTCTTTTGCCTCTCTCAAAGGATGTTTCTAAGGATTTAAGAGGCCACAGTCACAGAATCCTGCTTTGCTAGATATTCCAAGGTATTTTTAATTTTTAAAGAAATCTCACTAAAAAGTAACTTTAGGAATGCCAATAAGACTTCAATATCATTTACACTAGTAGTTCATAGAAATAGCATACCTTTTCTTTGTTTTTGCCTCTTTACCAATTTATCTTCTAGAACGGTCGCATATTCGTAGAAAGTTGAGGAGCCCTCCGAAAGTGTGTTTACTTTAACTTTTAGATCATTAATAACTGGTTTCACTGATTTTTCCTGTTTTAGCAGTGTAGTTCGCAGCTCACATCCAGTTGGGCACAGCACTCCCTTAAAAGAAGGAAAAAGGGGTGTGAATAAAGATGTTCTAGTCCCATCAGTGAACAGCCATACCTTTGAACACAGCGAAGTTTGCAACGTGAGAACAGGTATTTTAGCACCTAGATAAGCTTTACCAAACTTCATTTGCTGGCAACTTCCACACTCAAAATTTTGCTCTGTCATTAAGATGCCTCCCAGCATTATTACAGTTTGCATTTTCCAGCAGGGATCATGGCAGACAGTGTGATAGACTGCTGCAAGGGGCATGCTGGATTTCAAGCATGCTTGTATGCAGTAAGAGCTGCAGTGGTGACTGATGGTAGACTAAAACTACATTTTGAAACTAGTTTTAAGAAAGACATGGGAGGATGGGGTTTTTTTGGTCCCTAGGGTTCCTTAAGACTGTCTGAAACTCAATCCAGCACTTCTGCAAAGGTTTTTCCTGTCCTGAATATTTACCTGTGCAAAACCAGGCGGAAGGCACAGGCTAACCCACAAATACTTCCTTTCCTGGGCTACGATTCAACTCTCATCTCCCCATCTTTGCTGTAGGCTGACTGTGCCACTAATCCCATGGACTCTGACACACCATCCTTCTGAATGCAGTCCTAGCAAACCCAAGCAAAGTGAAGAAAAGCTGGACTGCTTCAAATGAATGATCGTCCTTTATCAGGCAAGGAAAACTCCCATGTTGGCTGTACTAGAAGGAAAGGACAGTATGTCACCAGCTGTCTCAAGAGCCAGACACCCACCAGCTCCTCCAGCACATGCTTGCAGCCTCCGGCATCAGGATAGACGATCCGTTCCTTCTTGTCGCCCGACTTCCCGCGCTTGGGGGGCCGGGGCTGGTATCCGGCCCCGCTGATGGGAGCTGCCACAGGCCGGAGCGTGGGCGCCATTTCACGCCTTTTGTCCAAGGGTCGGTGGCCTCGAACGTCAAGCACGGGGCTCTCATCCTGCACAGCCAAGGGGAGACGAAACTCTCTGAATCAGGGATTGCTATTGCAAAACGGGGTGCACAGGGTGGAGGCATCCATTCAGCACTATTTAGTATTTTAAACAGCAAGGAAAACCAGGAAATGGAATGAAAAAGCCATAATAGAAATGCTATACTGACATTATGTAAAATTATCCCCTCCCTTGTAAGACTAGTCACACTCTCCATACCTGGATATAGATAAACTAAAAAGTCTTCAAACCAAAGTAAAATAATATTTCAATAGCCAATTTTGACCAAGGAATAAATCTTACATAGTTCGGAGCTACTAAGCACCATGAAACTTGAAAGAGCATGCTATAAAAAAAAAAAAAAAAAAAAAAAAGTAATTAGACATCCTTGGGGCTAAGAAGTGTATTCAGCAGGATGTCCCAGTTTTCAGTGTCCCAGTTTTTTATTGGGCTACAGGAACATTTGTAAAGTCTAAGAAAATCAGGCCATAGTCCAACACATCATCAGGTCTCAGGCCTCATACCAGTTGTTAACTGGTGAAATCAGGAAAACCATTATATAACATCTCTCAAAGTAGGTTTGTAGAGCTGTCTCTGATGCATATATTCCTCATATCTACCAGAAATGTCAAAGCCTAAGAGGCTGAATAAGGAAAACAGGCCTGGTCCCTGGTTTTCAAACAAAACCATTTGAATTAATAATTGTTTGAGCTACTGATCAAAACCTACAGCCGTTTCCAATCCCCCTCAGATTTAGCTCCAAATAACAAACATTTGAAAGGATCCAGTATCAAGAGGCTTCAAGGAGTTTCAAAAATAAGCAGCATACAAAACACAGAATTGCTGAAAACACAAAATTGCTGAAATTTAACACATTAGTGTTATCAGTAGTCAATGTGCAGACACAAGGGCTCAGATTGTCAGAAAGTCTGACCGATACAATTTTTACAGGGATTTTCAAACAATAAAAAAGTGTACCAAAATTCTAAATTGTGTTTCCCGCTAAAATATTTTACTTAAACAAAAATATATATTAAACCATTATTTTATATTGATTCTCATTGCTTTTCCTTCTGTTTAGCAATTGTTACCTCTTAATTTCCAATGTTAAACTGTATGAACTGGTAGCTTGTTTGGTTTTGGTTTTTTTAAATATCTACTGACTCTGCAGAAAAGTTTTTGCTGTCTTTGAGACAAGATATGATTAATTATACATTTATACACATTTATACTCCTTTATACCTAATACTAACTGTCTGTAACATCATATGTCAACATTGTTAAATTAGTATCCCTAAATAAATTCAGCTAAATAACTAATCTTACCTAATCTTACTAATCAAACATTCTTTATTCCCTACAGAAAAAGAAATAGGAAGAAAATATCTCCAAACTCAGAAAATAACTATTGTGGAGTTACACATAAAAAGTTAATTTTTTGAACAATTCAATCAGAAAAAGAATATGCACTGGATTATCTTTTCCCACAACTCACATAAGCTGAGGAAGTCATGCATGCAATTAAATTAAATTAATTATTAATAACTAATTATTAATCAGTATCAGTATTACAACCTCTTCGTCATAGTCAAGAGAGCTCTGGGACTGAATGGAGGAAACACAGAGCAGGAACAGCAGGAGCAGTCTCATGGTGCTGGCGTGCTTAAGCAGCTCAGTGATCTTCTTTTTTCATCAGCTCTGACAGGGAGAGGTCTCCTCTGTTCTTTTATATATATGCAGCAGCACTAATTTCCAGCTTCACGGTGATAGGGTCAACCCTTCTCAGCAATCAGAGTTTCTCTGTTAATATTCGACTCTTCACTCTGTGCCTGAATACATCAGCTGTTGAGCAATTCCTCTGGAAAACTCTTATCTGTATGTCCCAGAGACCTCTATCGATGCTGGCATCAAATACATGTTCAGATCCTTAAAAGTACCTCCTGCTCAGATTACACAAGGTTACCATTTTCTCAAAAATCACAAGTGTTTTAAAGCAGCTGGAAAAGTGAATGGCCAAAGAAAAAAAATTTATTAGATGTCATATTGTAGTGGCTCCTTTTTTTTTTTCCCTGCTGAAAATGTGAATGTTTCAGAAATATCATATTAAATGTGAAGACAACTCACAAAATATAGATTTCTGCATTTTTCTAAATAGTTCACTGGTGCCTGATAGGTGTGCAAATCTTTGGGTCTTTTAACATAAAAGTGAAAAGAAAGATATATTATATTCATTACATTAATAATTTTGAATAAAATCAGTGGTTTGATTTATTAAAGATCAGATTAATACTGTAAGCATAAGCCAATATTATTCATTATCCCATTCATATAGACTTGTGACATTGTAAATGAACTAAAATAATTCAATTTTGCATATTAATTTGCTGGTTTCCTTTTTTAATACAAAAATTACATCTTTCAAATATTATTTAAATGTTTTCAATAATTTTTTGAGACAATAACAGCATGAAGTTACTTGAAATCATAGTGAAATACTCAAACATTCTTTCTAATGTTTTATAGGAACTTGCATATCACAGGTCTTATATTGGCAGAGTTTTAACATTTCAGTGTGTTTATATACTGTGATTTTCTCAGGCATTATAAATGACTATAATGTACTGAATTAAATTAAATCTGCCAAGTGGAGCCAGCACACTTTTCTGAAGTCATTCATATCAATGTCTGAAACAATGAAGGGATGTGAACTGTGGTCTGAACTTCCATTTCAAAGACTAACTTGATGGAGAGGAGGATTTTACAGGAAGCAAAGATAAGAACAGCTAAAATGTATTGGTTTAGACCTTTTTCCTGTATTCATGCTGCTGTCAGAATTCTAGTAAACTACAGAGATTCACAAAATATGAAAACTGTTTAACCTGACTGGTTTAATTATTAAACATTTTGGCCCCAAATCAGCCATGGCTCAAGGAGCTGAAACTCCACTGAATTGGATCTGCATGAGGACATCACCAACACTATTAGATTTGGAAGAACACAAACTTCTCCCTAAGACATTAAGAAATCTGTCTACGGCTAAAACTGACATCATTAACAAGTTATTTCCACTTATGAATGCTAGCCAAGATGTTATCACTGATTTTGGGAATATCCTAACTTTTAATACAGTTTTCCCTCCATGTACTTCTGAGGGAAGTTCAACCACTCTCATCTTTCATATGGAAGGGACATAATCCTTGAACCTCTGTCCAGGGCTTATGAGCAGCCTGTAGTACAGTGGAACTAAAACTAGGTCTCACTATTCCTGAGCTAGAAACTCAAATTATCCCAGCTCAGTTCACACAAATATTAATTAAACGTTAATAATATCAAGTGATATTTGTGCAAAATCTGTTTTGAAACTATCAGCATGTTCTTCAGTAATTTATGGTGTTTCAGACATTAAGCTCTCTTTAGTTCCTGATGGAGAGCCCTGGTTGTGTCTGTGCAGAGGCTGTCAGAGACTGGATGATGAGGGTTGGTGCAGGAGCCACCAAGCCAACTGCAGAGCCCCAGCATGGGAAACCCCCAGGCTTATTCTGCCTTAGATGGGATTTGCCCTTTGAAACTCAGTCTTTGACCTCCAGTACCTTTCATAGGCTTCCCTAGGAGAGCTGGGTGGTGGTGTCTCCACGAGGATTCTCCATGAGCAACACGTATATGTCACACCCCAGCAGGCTGGCAGCTACCTGCCAAATGACCAGATGCCTCAGGGCAGGGATCGTGTGACTGTCCATCTGTAAGCAAGGGCCTTGTCTGCACTGCAGAGGTTGTGCCTGGAGACTTTTATCAGCAAAAACAGTCCAAATTTGGACTGGCATAAAGAGGAGTCTATCCTGGCAAACATACACACATACAGGAAAGCATTCTGGCAGAAGAAGTTAATCTCCATTAGCATCCCAGTTATGAGATGTGATTTACTCCCATGCTTGCAACCATTACAGTCAGGCTGACGCTTTATAAGGATTGAATAAAGCCTTATAAAGAACCAAAACTATAGCTTACATTTCTTCTAAAAATGGTATCAAAGAAGTACTCTCTTCAAAACAGAACAACCTCTTTTCCTCCATACTCCCTCCTCCAACTCACGTGGTAAATGAGTCGGTGCTCCCAGAGCTAATGTGGTGGTGATACCACAGCATGTCTGCTAGAAACTGCAATACCACTCCATGGACCTGTTTGTGTTCCAGGACACCCCTGTGTACAGTATTTTTTACTAAAAAGGCACTTACTAGCAGAGGTGTGTGTGTGTTTTGAGGAACGTCTGTTTGCTCGCTGCCCTGGTGTTTGTAGTGCTGGCCAGTGATGCAACCCTCTTTACACAAACCCTCCGACCCAGGCGAGCCGTGATCACCAGATCATGGCTCTTCAGAGCTGCATGCATCCCTAAAGGAGGTCCTGGGGAACAGAACCTTCTTGGCTTACACTGAGCTATAGTGTTTCAATTTAAACATAGCTGTTGATTTAGAAATGTCCTTTTCAAACAGTTGTGTTGTAATAGTGCCATCCTATGAAAAGAATATTGTAAACTTAAACGTTCACCTCTGCTGTGATGAACATCCTTCTTATTTGCTTTTATTGGTAGCAAATATTACTTCAAAGATTTCTTGTAAATGATCGTGAATGCTATCTCCATGTTCTGAAAGCAACATTAATGACTGGGCTATTTTCACTTTGGCTTTAATATAACACTAAAAGTTCCTCCAATTTGCTAGTCACCTTCTATGAAATAGTGCTTATAAAAAAAATACATCATTAGCTATTTCCAGAACTGCAGCTGTAGCTGACATGCAAGCACACATCAAGTCATATGTAACAAAGAAAATTATTGAAGTGCATATTCTTATTAATATTACTGTCATGATTTATTGATGTTCCAGGACTAAATTTCACCCTAGACTAAACCTTCTAGGGAAAAAAAAAAAAATAAAATTTGTCCCCTAACTGGATTCTGAAAACTCTGAAAAGATTAATTTGTCCTCTGAGTTTCTAAAGCATTACCAGGATAACAGGAAACAAATTCAGGTTATACATCTCTGAGGGGAATGTTTATGTGTAAAAAAAAAATTAGGAAAACTACAGCAACTCCAGGGCTATATGAATATTTCTATTAATAGTAATAACAAGTGCAGACAAGTTTTCTTGCTAAATATAATTTTTAAAATTTTGCTACCAGAGTGCATATTTCAAATTTTGTTTCCCTTTAAAAAGCAGTGGAAATAAATCTGATTTCTTTCAACAGAAAATAAGAAAGAAACAACTCTATAAACAGCCAGAGACTACCCTTTAAACCATTTCCACACATTAAATCCACCAGTCAACTGAGTGAACAAGCAGGCACATGCTACTCTGCGTGCAACTTTAAAAAAGAAAGATAAACCTGTTTGAAATTCTGAGCTCTCTCCAAGTTTCCTTTCAAATGTTTTGTATCTTCAGTCTAACCTCATTAGCCCAAGAGGATGTAAGAGACTTGCCCCATTTTGACACACTGCCCTGTGGAGTTTGCACTTTAAGCAAGGACAGACAAAGCTCCCTCTCTGCGAGATGTTTTGCTGGTGTTTATGGCAAGCTCTGAAATTTAACGGGGATTGCCAGCCACACCAGAAGGAATACCAAAATAGGCTGGCTTGTTAAACATGAAACCTGGCTGCCTTGGCTTGAAGCTGAGCTGGCAATAGTTCCCCACTACTGACACAATGTAATTGGCATCTCTTCCCACCTCTACCTAGAACGGAAGATGGGGCTCAAAGCCACTTCAAGCACGTTTCCATCACTGTATCATAAATTACTAAATACACAGCACCAGCGCAGCCACCAGAAGTGAGCCACCAACTGCAGAAAAGACACAATATTTATGTCAAGTAGGCAAGCTGTGTGCCAGAAATGCCAAGCTAATGCTGTCCTATAGAAGACAGCAGGTTTGAACCAACTATGTTGCACTGAATCACTTCTAGCTCAGATGGTTTTGTAAACTGTTCACAGCTCAGGCATGCAGGCAAGCAGACAGAGCGAGTGGCTGGTTTGGTGGTAAAGAAGAGCATCATGATGGAGTAGCTGCAAAAGATGAGCTTGCCAAATCCCAGATACTGCTCAGGAGGACAAGACTTCATGGAATTAAGAGCAGGTGAGTATATGTGGAGAAAGTAGGTGCCTATTTGAAATTTGCACAAATGCATTTAGTTAGTCTACTCACGAATGGAAGTGAAATACCTGGTGGACTAACAGGGTACGTTTGTAATAGAATTATGGCCTCTGCACTTTCACAGCCAACACTTTGCCATGAAGTACGGGGTCGCCAGCTTGTTCACACCCTTTGCTCTCCATCAAGATGAGGTCCTGTGGAGCCAAACTAAAGACACTCTTCCCAAAAGATCAGCTATAATGGCTAACATCCAATATCACCGCAGTTCAACACCGCATGGCTTTACCCTTGAGAACTCACGAGGAAAGCAACACATGAAACCTGCAGCTCCACGGCCCCAAACACGTGCAAAGTGCGCTAGTTTCAGACCCAAGGGAGCGGCACTGCCCAGCTCAGGCTCGATCCCGCATCCTGCGGGCAGTGCTCGGGCCGGGCCCCTCTGCGGGGCCGCTCCGCCTCTCCCGCAGCGCCGCACCGCCCTCTGCCGGCCGCCGGCCGCACTGCGCCGCGCCCCGGGACGGCGCGGATGGCTCAGGCCGGAGGGACCGCAGCGAGTGCGGCCATCGGATCCCGCAGGGCCATCCCAGAGCACGCGGCACAGGGCTGTGAGTATCTCCAGTGATGCAGACTCCGCAGCCTCTCTGTGCCGCTTTCCCCATGCTCGGGTGGAACTTCCTGTGCATCAGCTTCTGCCCACTGCCTCTTGTCCTGTTGCTTGGCACCACCGACAGAGCCTGGTTTCATTCTCCTGTCACCACCCCTCTATACATTTGTACACACTGATGAAGTGACTCGCACCGGCTGCGAGCCCTCGCGCCGCCGTAC